CTGTCACTGAGTTATTGGAGCCTGTGGCACCTGTAGGGCATCGCCAGGTCCACTCTGAGCACGGGAAGGCTGATGGGTGCATCCGCCCTCCCCATTTCAGAGAGGTGCATCCCCCCTCCCCACCCCAGGAGAGGCCACGCCCACCGCAGCAGCCCACCAATCAGAGCGAGCTGAGGCTCAGCCTAGAAACAGCCTAGCCAAAGGGAGCGGGAGGCAGAGCCCTCCCTTACCTTAGGTCTCCAGGTTTTGGGGAGGGGGGCACTTGCAGCACCAGCCCCTGCCTACTGACAGGGGGCCCTCCCCCAGGAACCCCCGCCTCCCCCAGGACCTCCGGGGAGGCAGCCAGGCTCACCTGCAAAGCACCGATGGCAGCGCTCTGGAAGCGCAGATCTGTTTTGAAGTCCTGAGCAATTTCACGCACCAGACGCTGGAAGGGAAGTTTGCGGATCAAAAGTTCGGTAGACTTCTGATAGCGCCTGATTTCACGCAGAGCCACGGTACCCGGCCTTTTAAAATGAAATAATAAAAAAAAAAAAAAAAGGAAGAAGAAATTAATATTCAAAACATTCTGCATGACGTTAAATATATGGGTTCATCGTCTAAACTAAACCAATTGCACACACACTGTTTTCACTAGAGGAGTCCTGGCGTTTACAACACAAAACCAGTTTCATCGGCAAAGGGTCACCGTTTTCTCCCCATCGGTCTCTGCAAACTTCCACCAGCCTCAACAGGGATCCCTCAGGCAGACGCGGGAGGCCCTCAAGGCCCTGACTTCACTAAGAGAAGAGGTGGCCAGCACACATGAGCTAACTGACACCTACAAGCCTCAGTGCAGACACGGCAAACTCCAATGCTGCCATGAGTTACCTGGTTCAACTGTATCACAGGTACCCTCCCAGCGAAGAGCAAACCCAATCTGAAGGGGAATCTGGCTCCTCTTCCCTAGTGACATATGACACTGTGAAAATTCCCAGAACTAACGGAATTGATGTTCTGTATTATTGTAGCAGCACAAACTACCTCGTGTACTTCCTTGTGTTAGAGTTGATGTCAGAACTGCAGATTAACAACATACTTTTGCAGAGACAAAGCCCATCCTTGAAATTAAACCCACGTTTATTTCCGTGGAAACTTTGTATTTCCCAACTCCGGCTCTATTATCTTTCTCCTGGACTATTAATTCCACCTCACACCTACAGCAATGGACTTTTAGATTAAGTTGACTATTTCAAAGTCGCTCATCCTTCCCAACCCACTCCTTCCCCAAGGAATATATACACCCAGCGTAAGATCATCCTCCAAGCCAAAACACAACTGTTACCGTTCCGGACCAAGCAAAGACTTCCCCGGGTGGAAAAACATAATTATCAGAGAATTGTCAAAAAGCTCTAGCGCTCCTCCCGTGCACAACCGTCTATATTTGGGACGCTATTCGGGGAGCCCCGCCGCATCCGCGGGC